AGCCTTGTGGGTACTTGATTTGAGCACGTAGCTGCACTTGAGGGAGACTGTGAAAGCCCTGACCAAATATTGATCCGAGTAATCAAGCTCCTGGGCAGCGGGACACCGCGTTCCTTCCAGCCTCTTGCTGGCAGCGGAGTCGCGGAGCGGTGGTTTGGATGGTGAAGGGGGGGCCATGCTGGGGGAAGATCAGTGCTGGGGTGCATGGGCCTAAGCTGGGGACTCCCCACCCGGTGCTCCCAGCACCCAGTCGTGCTTCCCAGCACCCGATACGCATCGGGGCGGTGTGGGAGAGGCCGGCTGCTGTGGCACCCTCGCCCTGTCTGAGGAGGGTGGTTCTGGGTGTCACAAAGCCTGTGTGCAGCTGCTGCCAGCCTGCTTCTAGAAGCTGGGGGGTAGCAGTGGGGGCAGCCCGGAAGCACCCCCCTTTCTCCCTGCGCCCTGTGGGATGCTCAGTTGGGATGGGAAGCTCTCTCCCTGCTGTAAGGGGTGAGGAACTGCCTCTTCCCTTGACACCCTCCTGCTCTGTGGGTGCTGCAGCACCCTGGGTGCAGGCCAGAGCCCAGGGTCTTGCCCTTCGCCCTGTCCCCAGGTCAGGGGCTTGAAACTGGGGGAGCAGGGGCTGTTGGTGAGCTGTGCCGGGCCAGGGAAGGCTGAACAACGGGCAGCCCTGCTGTGGGGAGTGCGATGCTGCCCAGACCCCAGGTGGCCCCGTTCCCTTCTGTCCGATGTTCCCGCTGGCTTTTTGGGGTCGAGGGCACCAACCTCCCGCCCTTGGACTGGGCGCAGCCTGGGAAAAGGCCGAGCAGCAGCAGGGGTTCCGCGCAGGTACGTGCCGCAGCGCAGAGGACGGGGAGGGATTTCTCATCAGCATGACTTGCAGTCTGCCCTGACCCTACCTCAACTTCACCCAGTGCCTGCTGCTGTCCAGCGCTTCGCTTCCCTGTGCTTGCCTCTCGCTCCGGGCTGGCAGTTGGCCTGACCCACAGCTGCCCCAGCGTTGCGCTACTGGGAGATGCTCCAGCTTGGAATCCAGGAGGGCAGTGGGGGAATTTTTGTCATCCCTGACCCTTGCGTGTTGCTGGAAGGGCAGTGGGAGCGTGGGCTGGTCCTCCCGGTGCTGTGTCTGCGCCGTGGGGAGAGACAAGGGGACAAGCGCAGCGATGGGAAGATTGGGGCTCGGTTGTGTGGGATGTTTGCAGATGGAGTTGGCACACGGGAGGCCACGGGGCTGAAGATGCGTAGGTGTTAGGGTGTGTCACTCAGGGCTGTGCCCCCTGGGGCTCCCTGCAGCTTGGCGTGGGGCTGCTGAGCTCTGCTTGGAGTGAGGGGGGGTTGAGGTGGTGGGTTTGAAGCTAGTGTGATCCATGCAGCATCCCAGGAATCGCACGGCTGCTCCCGGCGCACACTCCCTGCACCTGTGTCCATGCGCACAGGGGAGCCCTGGCAGGATCCCGGCCCTGTGGGGTGCTTCCCAGCTCTCTGGAGGGAGGGTGAGCTCAATCACCGGAGTCATCCGCAGCAACTGCCTCCCTGAGCCGGCGGTGGTGCTGGGAGGACGGATCCTGCCCTGGAGCAGGGGCTTGGCACGACTCCCTCTAAACCCCACTACTTTACGCCAGTCTGGTGTGATCCGGGAGCTGTCACGTCAGCAGGATTTGCCTTCCCAATGCTCTGGTCCTCCACAGGACCGGCTGGGCCGGTTCTGGCCCTGCTCCCCCATGGACCGCAACACCCTTCTCTCCTCCCACCTCTCTTGGGGGGCGCTGCTGGGGGGCAGCCTGGTCCTGCCGCTGCAGGAGCGGGCCCAGCACGCTCGCAGAGGGCTGGAGCTGTGCTGGTGAAGATGGCTTCAGGGGGGGATGCGAGCGGGCAGCAGCCTTCCAGGAAGAGCCCACGGCCCCACACGGCTTTCCCATGCCAGCTCCGCTTCACGTGGCTGCCGGGTGAGTCATGCAGCCCAGCCAGGCTGGAGACAGGCAGCTCAGGGACCGCAGCAGGGCTCCGTACCTCTCCTGGCTCACTTGCCCTGCTCCCTGCGCAGCCCTGGGGCTCTGGAAGAGCAGAGGAGGAGGGGAAAGACCCATCCGTGGGAGGGATGGGGTCTTCCTTTTCAAGGCTCAGCACGGCGCAGCTGGGCTGGTAGCACCCAGCAGGCTTGAGCACATCCCTGGAGGGTTCCTAGAATAAAGCGAGCGGCAGAAATGTGCCCTCTCTCTCCGCAAGGACTGCCAGCCCTCCGCTGGGAACAGGGACACATCCATTCCCACGGCCCTGTCTGCCCCCCTCCATGCTCCCCCTGACACTGCCCGACAGAAAAGCCAGCCCAGTGCTGCGGCAGCAGTAAACAGACCGATTTTAATGCATGTAACACCCAACATCACCACGGGAAGGACTCGTCCCTTCCCTCAAAACCCTCTCAGGCCATCAGCTGCGAAACGCGGCCCCCCCTGGCCCTCCAGCTGCCTGCGTAGACGCCAGCTTGGGCTGCTTTTCCATCGGCCATGCCCCTGGCTTTGGTGGCATCCCCGTGTCTGGGCAAGGCTGTCGGGCTGGTCCGGCAGGGAAGCACTTTCAGGCAGCAGAGCGGGTGAAGGCAGGGCCCGGGGCCAGGGAGCGAGCCCTAAGGCACATCAGAGCAGGTTCGGAGAGGCCGAGACCTCCAGGAGCCGGAGCCCAGGTCCCCCTCGGCGCACACGTCTCAGTCTATCAGAAACTTCTCACCATCCACGTCTCTCCCCGCAGAACCCTTGCGCAGGGAGGGGAAAAAATCGGAGCGGAGGAGACGGGAGAAATACATGAGGATCATGGCATCGAGCAGCAGGAGGTTGGCGGTGAGGAAGGCACCCTGGCCCTGCACCTCCACGTAGCGGAGGAAGTACCAGGTGAGGTAAGCCTGGGGTGCCAGGCGGAAGGCGAAGTACATCCCCAGGTTGACGTACTTGTTGGCCTGGTAGAGCACCGGGGAAGGCACGTTGCTCATCTTCAGCAGCATGCGGACGGTGAGGAAGATGTTGCTCACCTCCACCAGCAGCAGCAGCATCGCTGCTACCAGGAAACGGCCCGTGATGATGAGCGAGACGAAGGCAGAGATGGCCTGGGGGTGGGGAGACACACAGAGCAGGGTCAGCTCTCCTCACCCTGGGGGAGGCAAGTCCTTCCCCCGTTACGGTTTGGGCATACGCGGTGCTGCTTCCCACCCCCCCCAGAGGACCCAGCCGCTCTGTGGGCCCCTGCGCCAAGGGAAAAGCAGGCTGGAGAGCCAATTCCCTCACAGCACCAGTTACACCTCCCTGAGCAGGGAGCTGGGACCAGCCTCCGGCCCTTCCCTTGCCCGCCGTGGCAGCCTGCCTGGCTCCCAGCGCTCCGAGCTGACGCGGGCAGGCATCCTGCCCTGCCGGGTGCTCTCGCCTTCTTGATGCACAGCCTACCTGGCAGCCGGGGTGAGGCAGAGGGAAAGGCTCCGGCTTGCCCCACCGTAGCGCAGGAAACCTGTGTGGGCTGAGCCCTGGGGTGCGTGGTAGCCCACCCTGGAGCCGTACTCACCATGGCATGGTGCACCAGGTACTCCCAGGAGGAGCGGGACTGGTGGTTGAAGATGATGTCAAGGGTGTCGTGGATGAAGTAACCTGCGGGATGAGGGAGAGAGGGTTGAGGGGTCCGGCTGGTGTACCTGCTGCAGTGAGGAGGAGGAGGAGGGTGGCGTGACCATGCTCCAGGCATCGGAAACGCCTCCACCCTGGCTGAGGGTGGGGAGATGCTGGGTCCCGAGGGCTGTCAGCCTGCGGGCCCTGCGCTCGTGATTAAGGCAGGAGGCACGGAGAGTCACCCAGCCCCTGAGCTGGGGGCTTGTACTGCGTGAGGCTGAAGCGGGAGCGGGCAAAGCCTGGCGGGGTGGCTGCAGCCATCGCCCTGCAGACTCCTTACCCGAGGAGAAGCAGACGAGCAGGTGCCCTGAGACGCTGTAGCCGTCCTGGACGTCGGAGAGCAGCTCCGGGGAGTGCCAGAGGCTGGGGGCGAAAGGAGGAAGAAGAGGGTCAGCCTGGGTGCCACGGCAGGGCGTTGGGATGGGGGATACGGCGCTCTGTGCCTCCAACCCTGGGGGATAACACCCGGGGTCGTGCTCCCACGGGGACCCGGAGCTCCAGCTCGCAGGGGGTGCCCACCCCCACCCCCCTTCAAGCCCCCT